TACTACTAACAACTAATAACTAATTACTACGTACGTACGTACTACTATATATATATATATATATATATATATATATATATATATATATATATATATATATATTGAATACTTCAATGGGGAAGACAGGCTTCTACCTGTTTTTTAAAAAAGTTAGCTTTTTTCAAAGATGTCAGCAGCATTGAAAACCATAACATCGTAACTAAGTATGAGGATACTACCACCACGACCCGGCTCCTTTCCTACTGTCAATCTATATTAAGATAAATTATTCATGCTTTCCATTTAAAGATAATATGATGATATGAAATCACATTATTCATATGGCAAAGTTACATATCATTTCTAACGCCCGTAGTCGTAGTTCTTAGTTGACATGAAAGATCAAAGTGTCATTGTTCTCCAAGATGTAATTATGTTTAGTGGGCCTCCCAAGTGTCATTGCTCTTTAAGGTACGATAATTATAATGTTTTTATAAATAAAACACTACCTTATCGATCAATATCCTTATTTTAATTTAAACAGTATCTTACCCATCACTTAAGTTCACAAATTTCGATATAGGGCCTTGAAAGGAGCATGTCCAATGATTCTTTTTAAGATATAACAAGTAACAAAGAACTTATTGATATTATAAAATAATGGAGGGAGGCATATTATGGGATGTATACTTTTGATCTGGATCATCCATTACTCGAATTTCCTAAACCAAATGTGGACTATCATTAAGGAGTACCTTTCCTCCTGTTGAAGACACTTTGGTTCACCATTTTCTATTTTTTTATTTTGTTTTTACTTCATTTGCAAGTCTGATTTGTTTTGTTTATTTCAAAAGGAAAAACTATCAATGAGGGACCAATCCATTCTAGAGCTTTGGCAAACCCCACAAAAACCATATAGTTGGCAATCCACCCCCCACCCCGCCAAAAAAAAAAGAAAAAGAAAAAGAAAAATGTTCTAGAGGATTGTTGTGGATTTTTTTTTTTGTTGCCATATCTTGTTTTACCTAGTTATAAATTTCCAAATCTCATTGCGGCGGATATCAACAAAACAGTGAATCCACAAAAGTCATGCCCGGTTTTTAGGACACTAAGTTTTGTAAACATGTATTGATTCAACATGTAATGAATTCCAACACATGTATTGATTCAACATGTAATGAATTCCAAAACAAACGCAATATAAGTTTTGTGACTTTCTTTTGGCTGTCTGTGATAGCCAGGTTTTGTTGTACTGCTGTATCCTTCTCTTGTTCAGTAATATAAGGTTTATGATGAAAAGGGTTAGGAAAAAAAAAGGCGAAGAGGAACTGATTATCCTCGGGATATCCAATTTAATCATTGTTTTTTGATAAATTAATATCGAGGCCGAGGCTTTAGATAAACAAGTTTTTGGTATAACATTATGTAGACGGGTGGAAGGGTGCACAACCATCGTTTCAATGGTTGAGATTTGATAAGGCCCAATTTAATAGCCAAAAATTACTTTTACATTTTTCCATCCGAATAAAATATTTATTTGAATTTTGAAGGATAAATAAAATGATTATAATATATTTTAAATAAAAAGATCAAAATGCCCCTAAATTTCTTTTGATTTGATATTTTTTATTCAAAATATTTTTATTATTTTTATTCAATTCTACTTATAGAAAAGGCTAGAATCCAATTTTAAGCTTACTATCATTTTTAAATAAAATATAAAAAAACTAAATTTATTTTTAATTGTTGGATGAGGTTGGTTAAATTCTACTTTTTCATCTAAAAATTTGCAAATTCATGTTTTCTAATCCTTAACATAATTTTTTTAAAAGAATACACCCAAAAAATATTAATGTTGCAAGTAACATGTTCATTATGCTTTGGCACACTGGTGGATAGATTTGTTTAGGCAGGGGAGCTAATCGCCGTACCTAATTCCAGAATGGCTCGAGTGGTTAGCAGTTGAGATTAGCAACATTAAATCTATGTCCGAGTCCTATATAATTTCAAAAAATATGGTTCTAAAAAGCACTCTAGTAACCAATGTCCCAATGTACCCAAGGAAATATTCAAAAGATATACATAAGAAGCAATCAAAAGGTCTATTCAAGATGTTTTTCATCTTTTGTCTTTTTCCTTTTTCATTAGACCTTCCAAAAAATAGGAAGCATATGTAGTAGTACATAACATCAACTCAATACATGACCCAAGCCCTTCATAAAAGCATAGAATAAATTAACGAATGAGAGGGAGAGCACAAATCACCAACATGTTAGTGAGATGAGAAAAAAATGCTCAATTCTTTCAACAAGATAAATTTTGATCTTTTGGATTGTTAGGTGGGTGTGTAATTTGTTCACTTGGTGTGACTGGTTCCACCCCAAGAATGACTCCTTGCTTTAGCAAGTGTTCCCATCTGTCTTGAAAGAGATAAAGGAAAACAACAGAGCCCACCTCTGCAGTGAACAGAATACTCCATAGATTTATGCTTTTTGAGGTCTTCTCATGGTATGCATGTAAACCAGTGTATATGTTAATCAACCCAAGTATTGCAGCCCCTGTTCCCAGCAGCCAATGCACAAAATACCACATACTTCTTCCTTTAACCCCTCTGCCCAAATCAGCAATTCAGCCAAACAAAAAACAAAGCAAAGTCTTTATTTCATTTATTTAGGAACCCTGCCCAACTTACTTTCTGGGTAGAAATTCTCAGAATTCGTGTTACAAAGATTTGTTCCTGTTTTACAGAGATAAATTATCAGAGTGATAATGCATAATTGGTACATTGTATAATCCATAATTTATTTATTTAACTCTTAAATTTTTGAATAATTTTCATTTTCCTGAATTGGTATTTGAGAACGTATAGTTTACTCCTACTCCCTTGGTCAGATGACTTACTTGGGAGGATTTTTCATTCTGATAATTATTCTTAAAAAAAAAAAAATTGAAATTTGAGTTTTTTAACATTTAAATCTCACCCTCTAAAAATTGGATGGATGGTTTCTATTTAATATTATTTTATCAAATGCTAGAAAGGTGTAATTAGGAAATTATTTTTATTAAAGTTAATCTATATGTTAAAGAGAAGGTGTAATTCAGAAATTATTTGTATTAAAGTTAATCTATATGTTGAAGAGGTTGTATCACAAAAATTTAGAGTCGTAAAACTAATCCCTCACCCGAGGGAGTAAATGCATAATATACTCCGAGAGAGTAGGATATCTTTTGGCTTGGTCATAACTCATTAGTCGCACTTTTGTCCCTGAGGTTTTCTTACGCTTGAACGCCATTCCGCAAAGGGAAAAGTTTATATGGAGCCGAGGCTCTAAACAATCAAATTTGAGCCTACCTCAAAACTTTCATTAGAAGTTGTTTTGATACCCAAATATCTTTAAATTGATCATCTCGACATCAAGATGCATGTAAATGAGGAAAAAAAAATAGATTTCAACTTTTGAAAATAGTGCATCTTGTAGCGTGTTTTTGGACCGTCCATTTTTAAGATTTTCAAGTTGTCATAGACCTGCTCTATCTATAGTATTTTTTATGCTTTAAATTTATAATTAAATACGAAAATATATTTTAAGGGTATCACAAATATTTTCAGTATTGAAACTACTTTCTCGATACTATTTAAAAATAGGCTCCAATTTAATTGTTTAGAGCCTCGGCTCTATGCAAACCTCACCCTTGGGCAAAAAGGCGTTCAAACTCTTCTGAAATTTGTTCTAAAATCCACAGTAATTTACCCTTCTCTTTCCTCCCTTTCTCTTGTAATGATTTTGAAAGAGGAGGGAATCATATCCAAAAATCAAGTGCAATAATCACACAAAAGAAGAAAGATGACACTGACCCACTTTCCGTGTTAGCCATTTCCCTATACCTTTTAAGCCACTACCTACTCCCAATAAGTGCAGTTTCGACATTCCCAATATGTATGTTGTTCTCTCTCTTCATGTGGTCACCCGTAGAAATGCGGGCTTGGCAATAAATATAATTTTTAAATATAATTTGATCTTAATTTTTAGATAATATATAATTGTTAACATAGATATCATGGATTTTTTTTTGAAAAGTAGAAATAATAATTATATTAAAAAACATTTGGACCGTTAGTTAAATTTGTTTTTAGATGGATCATCTCTTTGCATCGATTTTTAAGATGGATACTTTATACCTCTGCACCGCATGTTGTAGAAATGCGGTCTAACATGTATGAAACAATTTTCCATACTTATGAAAAGTATACAATGAGACTATTTATCTTGAGTATAAAGCAATGACAATTAATCTTCTTGACCATTGGATATGGAAATTAGATGGCTGCATTTATTCCATCGACGAAGCTTAAAATTCAAAGGGAAAGTTTTCAAACTTGGTAAGACACCTAAGTTATTAGATTTTACATTGGGTTTAGATTTCACACTGGATGATTATAAGTAATTGTAACTTCTTTGTACTATAAGTAAAAGTAAATAGTCTCATTGTATAAATTGGGTTTAGATTTCACACTGGATGGTTATAAGTAATTGTAACTTATTTGTACTACAAGTAAAAGTAAATAGTCTCATTGTATATAATTCTTATTTGTGTGTGCTCGCACACGCGCATTTCAATCAAATCGGACATTTCACCCAAAATCAATTTAACTCTTCCCACTGACACTCGAGTGACACTCCGTATGCAGAAAATGCTACGATTCTTGAGAAAATGAAAACTTTAGATACTAGAAATCTCTAATTGTTTTGCTTTGTGCAAAAGAATTCTCTTAGAAAGTCATTTCCCATAAGCAATAACTTTTTGGTGGTATTTTTTTTTTTTTTTGTAATGTTTACTTTGCAGTGGATAAGAAAGAGGCCTGTAAATTTTGATCGCAAATTATTATCCATGTATTTGTGTTAGAAGTTAAATTTGAGCAATTTAATATTAAAATAGCATCAATAAAACTCGAGCTTACTGATACCAAAAATTGGAGAAATTTGTTGAGATATTGTCAAAAGGTGCACAGGCCCAACTAGGACCATACTAAAACTCATTTTGAAAGGAAAATAACCATTAACTTTGAGAGCAAACAAAATCAAAAAAGGAGGAGAAATGAGAGATGAAGTTGCAGGAGGTGCAATGGAGCTTACCTCTGTGGCCTACAGAATCCAATAATCATCTGCAACCACATTACTCCATAGAGGCCGAGTCCCAGCCTCTGGTGTGTGTTGTTGAACACATTCTCGAAGCTCTTGATGGACATAACTGCACTTGCTGACACTAGGAGTACTGAACTTATCTGCACAGAGAGAAAGAGATTGAGACTCTGTGTTAAATTTGGCGAATGTTCATGAGAAAGAGGCCGTTGAGAGTGAAGTAAATTGGTGTTGGGGTACCTGCAAAATTAGGTGAATGTAAAAGAGAAGCTTAAGCCTTCTCCCACATTGCTCTTTTTGGGATACTCGAATTAGTAAAATCCCCACAGGCGTCAAAAACCCCATTGAAGCCCAAAGTAGGAACCCATGAAGAGTTATCTGGAATTCAACTCTTTGGTTCAACTGCAAACACCAAATGCATCATTCCTGCTGTGTAAATCTCCTCTCTCTCACAAAAAATAAAAAATAAAAAAAATACAAAAGAAAAATATCTTCTTTATGAGAAAGAGAGAGGGGTGATGACCTTATGATGAACATTGTGCATGGTACTGTGACTAGTGCTATTGTGCTTCACTGGTGTACTAGATGAAGCCACAAACGGAATAAGGAATAGAATGATATATACATTGTTGAGGCATAACAATGGCCTCTGGAACATTGGCATTGTTTTCTACTACCCAAAGCCAATAAATTGATGAATAAATGAATAAATAAGTGAACCCAACTCTGAACCCACACTAAATCTCTCTCTAAAATGCTGGCTTGTGAGATACAGGATGATTAGGAAGCAAAGTGAATTGGGGTTAAGTGTTGCATCAATTCTTGAATTATCTGTTGATAAAAGTCATAAAGCATGGATATATCTCTCTTTTGCTATAGAAAACCAGAATGGCCGATAAGAGATGTAGAGAGAGAAAGAAGAGAGAAGCCCAAATGAGATGCCATGAATGGGGAATATATGTGCAGGATTTGGGTGCTTCATTTGAACATACAAAGTTGACATCATGGTATTGAAATTATATCTTTTTGTTGTGTTGCTTTTTCAGCTTTTTGATGGGATGGATGGGTGGTGGTTGTCTGGAATCTGTGGACTTGCAGGGCACAGTGAGAGGACTTTATGTGAATGGATTTGAAATGAAGGGTAACGAGACAAGATACAGAGGTACCGCTATACCCTGCATTCCCACTCCCTTCCTCCCTGTTGGGATCCACTCCATGAGAGCTACAATCCAATCTGATCGATCATCTCGACGTCAAGACATAAGGAAGTAAAAAAAAAAAAAAAAGAAGTAAGAGCTCTAAACAAACAAATTAAAGTCTACCTCAAAAATTTCATTAGAAGAGGTTGTTTTGATGCCCAAATATCCTCAAATTGATCATCTCGATATCAAGATGTACGGATATAAGAAAAAAATAGGTTTTAAGTTTTAGAAACTGTGCATCTTCTAACGCATTTTTGGACGGTCAATTTTCAAGTTTTCATAGATCTGCTCGATCTATACTATTTTTAAAGCTCTATATTTTATAATTAAAGATAAAAATATATTTTAAGATTATCACAAAGATTTTCAGTATTGAAATCACATTTTTTGACACTATTTAAAAGTTCGCTTTACTTTGATTGTTTAAAGCCTCAGCTCTATACAAACCACACCCAAACAAAAAGATTTTGATGTCATACACCTTGTAAAACATTATTTAGACCATCCATTATTACCATTTTGAAAGTTTGTAGATTTGCTTGATCTATAGTATTTTTTGGGTTTTAAATTTCATAATTAGATGTAAAGTAGATTTTCAGGTCATTATTAAAAAGGTAAGCTTTCTATGCTTCCCCTACATCATAAAATTTATATACTTCTCCTTGTCTGAATGGAGGGTTAAGATTGCCCCAATCACAATGTCACGTTTCTGTACTATTTTATTTTTAACTTATTTTTTATAAATTATTTTGAAACCAAATTTTGTACATCCAATCCTCTATTAAACTCGCACTATCAAAAAATATAAAAAAAAATATTTCCAATAAAATAAAATGGTCAAAATACCCCTAAAAGTTTCAAGGGGTATTTTGGTCATTATATTTTATTGACAAATTATTTTTAATATTTTTTATAGGTGCACACCAATGAGAAGATGACACGTACTAAATTTCATATTCATACAATTTTTTTTTAAAAAAATAAAAATAAAATACTTTGAGACGTCGGATCTAAAATCAAATGGTGAGTGACTCTCTTGATCAAAATTGAACGACTGGATGGTAGGGGAAGCTATGGATGTGATCCTTAGATTGGTTAAGATTGACGCTTTATACAAACTACATCCCATTTTATGTGAGAAATAAATTAACAAATGAAAACAAAGTGGAAATTATGAAGCAACCCAAAAGATCTCCCAATTACACACAATGGAAGACTCTAATGAGGAAATTGTTACTAGTTTAATTGAACCCAAACTCCAAGCTCTCTTTGTATGTATTTTTCGAATTTTGTGACATTTTTTCTAATGTTGTCACACTATTTAAATTTCATATGGAAGGGCTAAATGTAACTATGACTTTATATCAAAAATAAATAGTCTCATACTAAACAATTCTTTATAAAAAAGCGTTTAGAGTCCTGTTACACTTACATCTGACCAACCAAAAATTAAACAACCTCTATTAGTCTTGTGACATTTTTTGTCCAAAAATTAGACAGCCACTATTATTCTCGTGACATTTTTTTTTCCAAAAATTACCCTCTATTATAAGTGACAATTTCTTTTTTTTATAAGTGCGTGACTAAGAATATGTCCACCCAAGAGAGTAAATTGAGGTTTGATTTTCCATATAATTACTCCTCCATTCCCTGTATCAAGTAAATAATGACTCCCATAATCCCTATTTGGGTGGTAAACTTAATGGACTTTTCCTTTATTTTCTAGGGTTAATGAACATAATGATAATCATTACTCCCAATCAAGAATCTGTAACACACTTTCCTCACAAGGATGCAGTCACCTCACCAATCTTGATGGGGTAACCTGGCCGTTTTAGCAAGTTGGGCCTACCTGTTGAACTAGGTAGCCGATGTGCGAAATTGTAACCCTAGCAGATAGTTCAATGAGAATGTGAAAAACAAGCGAAGGCGATCAATACAAATAAACGGAAAGAAAATAAATAGCAGAATGTTAAAGTAATGTGGTTTGTCCATATATGATCATGTCATGTCCATAGGTGAAGAAGATAAATGATTTTACTATTACAATTAAAAAATGCATAAGGCCGCTCTCCGTTTAAAAGATCTAAAAGCATATGAGAATCTTTTGTACTTTCACGCCCTAAATCAACCTTAAAAGACCATGTCCATACCGAAAACATTCATCCCTGGGGGCCTCAGGGCCAAAGATTTATGGATATTAATAGTTGCACACATGAATACCGTCGTGAGTGTCAATTTTATCACGTCATGCATTGATATAAATATGTCTTATCCGTTTATCTTTTTATCCTGGGAAAAAGTTTATATAAAGTTGCAATAACGTGCATTTCAAAAATTCATCATAAAACCCTTTAATCGATCATCTCGACATCGAGATGTATGAATACGAAAAGAAACAAAGATTTCGAGTCCTAAAAATAGTATATCTTGCAACATATTATCTGGACTGTCTATTTTCTAGATTTTTAATTGTTTATAAATCTACATGATTTGAATAATTTTTGGAGTTTGAGATTTGATAATTAGAGATGAAAACAGATTCTCAAGCCATCTTAGGTATTTTTGACACCAAAATTATATTTATGCCAAAATTTAGAGGTGCGTCTTAATTTGATTGTTTAAGGTTGCAACATTATAAGAATCACACCCTTTATTATTTTACATTGATTAATATATTGCATACCATAGGCCATGAGGCTAGGATAAATGGTATTCGAAGCCACATTTGCCGCCTATTCCTTTGATGGATGGTTCGAGTTTAATGGTGGAACCTATTATTTCAACCATAGTTATCAAGATCAAATCGAACCGACTGTCCGACTAGTACCTTGGCCGGTTAGATTCAAAGTAACAGTTAGAGTTTTGTCAAAACTGGTGAAACCATTGTTTGACCAGTTCTGGCCGCTCGAACTGCCGATTTTGACTGGTTCAACTGCTCAAAAAAGATAGACAATTTTATTTAATATATTACATATTTTTAAACTATTATTTATGTTTTTAATATTTAAAAAAATATTTAAACCATCAATCAAATCAATTTTAATTGGACTAAACCCTTCACTAATTCGACAACTAATCTGATCTTGATAACACTAATTTTAACCATCCATTAAAGAGAAACAATGGGAATACAATCTTACCCCTAAGCCCTTTATTTTTACTTGGCAAGAACTTTTAACTTAATAGAGAGAGAGAGAGAGAGTTACATAAAGGTAAAGGGCATGACAATAAGTATACCTAATGTTTGCTACTTTTCTAGAGAGAGAGAGTTTAACTTTCTAGAGAGAGAGAGTAGTTTAACTTTCGTAGAGAGAGAGAGAGAGAGTTTTATATGAAGGGAAAAAATTCCCATAAGGTTTGCAAAAGGCAACACAATATTTTTGTAGCTTTTTCTTCCCCAAAAAAAGCATGCATCATGGAGTATAGAAACTTGTCTGGAGAAGAATGATGATGTGAAAGAAGTTAGTCATTGTAGTTTTTCATGATATGGGCCAGCTGAAAGAAGTTAGTCATTGTAGTTTTTCATGATATGGGCCAGCTCACACATGAACCAATTATTCCTCCTGTCCCATTGCTGTTTGATGTGTTTGGATAACTTCAACTTTGGTCGCGGATTCGGATTCGGATTGAAATACAGTCTGAATTTTCCGATAGACAAATTTTTATTTTATTGGCCGATATAATACCACTTGGCTTTTAGTTTTTTAACTATAAAACTTTAAATTTTATAAAACTTTATTGCTTCTCTTTTTTTGGATAAATCAACGCCGCGTAGCACGATTCGGCTGATTCCACTCGGACTCAGCTGGGTAAGGCCGAGACTGACATGTGGGGAGTTCGAGGAGCAACTCGCTAGGCACCAAAAAAAGGAGGTAAAAAATACAAAAAAAATAAAAATAAAAATATTTATAAAAATATTTTTAGATGATTTGGGAGCTTTTCTTATGATCCAATCTTTTATTTTGCCTTTATTTTCCTGAAATATTTATGGTATAAGTCAAAATTTTAAATAATCTGCCTTTTATAGATTTGCTTTCACCTTCTATAGTCTTTAACGATTCCTATCGTCTATTTTTTTATTTTGTCGATTTTTAAAATATTTTTACCTGTTTTTTATTTTTTACCTTTTATTTGGTGTTTCCATTGGCTCTTTGATAGGATCTGGATGAGTTTTCTTTTCTTTGCATTTATTTGTCCCTGTTTTTCTCTGGTGGTTGTCCTGCCATTTGATCTGGGGACTCTAAAATCCTAACACGGCTAGTTTAGAAATGGGTTCTTCAATTTTTATTTTGTTTGCATTGAGTACGTGATTTTTAACAAGAAAAAAAAAACTTGGCTGAAATCTTATTAGAAAAAGGAGGAGGGATTTATGAGTCCACGGCCTCATCCATTTAAATGGGTCCTCTATCCAAAATCTATTTTAGAATTTGGTTTTAGATCTAAAGTTTTGAAGATTAAAAGTTCCTAATACATCTAGCTAAGAAACTAGCTCTTCCATTTTTGTTTTGTTTGCATGGAGAGAGTGACTTTCAAGGGGAAAACAAACACTTGGCTAAAATTTTATTAGAAAGGATAAGGTTTTTACGAGTCCACCGCGCATTATCTATTCCAATGAGTCATCTCTCCAAAATTCATTTTAGAGATATATATTTTGAATCTAAAATTTTAAAGATTGAAAATCTAAACCATGACGAACATGAATCTGAAAGAAAAAAATTAAAATTAAAAATAACATTGTAATATAATTTAATGACCTTAATTTAAAGTTTTGGTGGGCCGCCGTTCTTTAACATCCATCTGGATGTTAGAGCATCACGGACGCTATTGTAGAAGTTTGTCTAATGCACAAATTACTTTTCCTTGCAAAAATAACAGTCAAGTTCACCAATATCAGTAGGCATTTGTTGCCCAAAATCAAACCAACCGTCTAATTAATGGAAATTATGTATACCCACTCGGACCATACTTTCTCGATATAATTCCCCTAATACTTTTTAAAGG